ATAGTGCCCAAGTTTTGGTTTCCTCTTTCATACATCCCAAAAGTCCCTCATTTGGAACCAAATCCCTCTGTCACTCTTTTCTCCTCAGTTGTCCTTCTTTTTGGGCTGACGACAAGATATCTATGAAATGTTCTATTTAACTACCAAAAGTGCACTAAAACCTTCATCCTACAGACGGCAGCTTCCTTAACAACCAGTGAAGCCCACTATCAGTGACTCTTTGTGGGCAGAGCATGATGAGGAATTCTGAGAACTGAGTTCCCCATCACTCTGCACCAGATTGACACCTGGCAATGGGCTGGTGCCATAGCCAGCCTCCCAATCAGCAGCAGAGCGGACCTGATGGGGAACTCAGTTCTCAGAATTACCTACCAGGCTTCTACTACTGCACCTGCCCGTGTGATAGGTGCAGTGGCCGGTGAGGGCTCAGTAGTTCTGAGCCTGTGATTTGTTGCTGGCTCATCATTACTGAGCTGCACTGAGGATGAGTGTCTGGTATGGACACTCCAGTCTCACTGAGCCTCCACACTGCAACTGTTGGCGCTCGTGCCAAATTCATGTACCTGTTTGCTATAGTACATGAACCTGGTGCAAGCACCAACATTTGTCATGTGGATGCACCACAGAATTCTAAAGAGTGTTGTAGACACTCCGTATGAATTCCGATGATTGTGCTACAGGGTGTCATTATTTTTAATTCAGGAAGTTGGGAGGGGTGCTCTTTTGGTACCAAATCTCTCTGTCCCTCTTTCCTCCCCAGATGTTTGGTCCTCAGTTGTCCCTTTTGTGGTCCCCTAAATGATAATCCTTTCAAAAGAGTACGGCAAGCCATAAACTTTTCTTTCTTTTAGATTAAGGGAAAGTGTAAGGGAGAATTTAAACCCTGAAAGTTTGTTCTGCTATTCTGTTACAGAGATTTTCCCTCACTTTCAGTCCCGGTGACAACAGTTTTACCAGACAGGAAGTAAAGGAAAAGCTGCAACCGGGACAGACAGAAATAGATATACGTGACTGAGGCTTTACCCTTCCTCTACTCTTTTTTAAATTGTAGCCGCACCATCACCTTCTGTGATGTGGCTACTAGACATTTAGTGATAGCCAGGGCTATAGTCAGCTTGGCTGGATTTATAGTGGCAGTTATCTGGTTAATTCCAGGTGTCTGGTATTGACTGTACCTCCCTGGGCGCAGTGTGACTCTGTCGTATTGTGGGACAGCCAATGAGAGATACTGTAGTGTATGTACAGTACAGCAGCCAATCACTTGGTTTCTCTCAACCTGTGGTGCATGCTGGGATAGGGTACATATACAGGAGGGATTTGCCATGTGCTCAGATTAGCCGGGGCCAGCCATGGATTAAGGCTGGGTGCTGTTCAGCCTGCCCCCCAGGCTAGGCCTTAGGCCTGGGGGTAGGCATAGGCTGGTGTGAGGGAAATGTTTCCCTGAGTCCTCCAACATGGAGGAGGCCGGTGTTGCTGTCAGAGGAAGAGACCCAGGACCAAGGACGGCTAATGAAATATCTAGTGTTGCCACGTTTTCTTCAAGCGAAACCCAAACATACTAGCGATGCGCAGGCATTTTTTGGGGAGAATGAGTGGTGGCTTATTCATATGTAAATAGCTCCACCCATTCATATTTAAATATCACAGTTGAGACTATTTTCAGTGGGGGCCCAGTAGCCCCTATCTTAATTTTGGTTGCCGCTGTCTGCCTGACAACTTGTGTCCGGGTTTCTGCTGCCATGAAACCCGGACACCGCATTCAAAACCTGGACTGCCGGGTGAATCCTGGACAGGTGGCAACCCTAGAAGTATCCTGGAACTTAAAGTGCTTCAGGAGCATGGCCGGTGTTTCTTCTGTTGAGGATCTGTATTCATCCGTGCTCATCTGCTACTTCAGTTGCTATGTGCTGTCTCCCAAGTGGATCTACACTGATATGCTAACCAGGTCTTGTGAGTCTGGAGTCTGTCTGTTACATCCTGGAAGCTTAGAATCCCTATATCCTCTCTCCCCAGTGAAGATGTTCAATACAAGTTATTAAGCATTATACTACTGGAGTGGACATCAGCTATTGTGGGCACTAGAAGAAGGACGGTTAATGTTAATGGGTGGGCAGCTGAAGATCATACCCTAGACAGACTAGAGATGAACCGGGCATTCAGCAGCTCCTTCGGGGGTGAGCGCTACAAAATAAAGGGTTTTTATTTCTGTCTGTTTTGTAGATTTTTCTTTACTTCCTATCTAATAAAACATTGTCAGATTGTATGTAGGTAAATGTGATCTAGTGACAATAGTCTAATATACAGTTGTAAAGAAAATTATTCAACCCCCATTGCAAATCATTGGCAAAAATTGCAAACTTTCAGTTGTTTGCAATGAACAAATCAAACAAAAGCAATTGAAATAGGTCAACACAACGAATGTGGTTTCCCAAAACTCAAAACTATTCAAGCCTAGTAAGCATGTTTAGTACTTATTAGAGCACCCTTTTTCTGTCATGACGTGCTGCAAACAAGATGCATAGCACAATAACACAATCTTAGCTCAGTCCTCATGAGCAATGACCTCTAATTCACTAATATTCTTAGGTTTGCATGCTGCAACAGCCTTCTAAACCCAACAAAGATTTTCTATGGTGTTCAAGTCAGGTGCCTTTGATGGCCACTGTAGAATTTTCTATGACTGCAACCAACCAGTTGGTAGAATTTGAGCTATACTTGAGCTATACAATTGTCCTGTTGGAAAGTTCAATGACTCCCAAGATTCATCTTCCTCTCAGATGGCATGGCGTTTTCTCCTAGGATTTCCTGATACTCAAATGAATCCATCTTGCCTTCCACATGCTGCAGGTTTTCAGTGCAAGAGGATGTAAAACAGCCCCAGGGCATCATTCAGCCACCACTATGCTTAAGGCCCTGTTCACGGCAGGGCGTTTTCGTTGCATGGATTTTTCCATGATGAAACGCCAGCATTTAAAAACCCATTCATTCCTATGGGGCCTGTTCACGCAAACTAGGGATGCACCGATACAAGCATCGGTATCGGCGGTGATACCGAGTATTTGCATGAGTACTCGTACTCGTGAAAATACTCCAAAACATAAAACGAGTACCTGTGCTGCGTCCGCCATCTTCAGGGACCCGGATCCGCCGCACACAGGACCTCCATCGCGTCTTCAATCAAGCAAGATGGCCGCGACCTCCTCTGTCATCTGCTCCATTCTGACCTCTTCTTCCGCTGATTGGCCGATTGGATGATTGACAGGCTTCCTCACCAGTCAGGAGTGACTGGTGAGGAAGCCTGTCATCATCCAATCGGCCCATCAGCGGGAGAAGAGGACATCCCTAACGCAAACGCATCCACCTGTCACCCGAACTGCTCCCTGAGCTACTTTTTCAGCACTGATCAGTGCGTTTTCCATATAGACTTTAATGGAAATGCACCGATCAGTGCGTTTTTAATTGCGTTTCAGCGTGTTAAAAATGCACAAAAGTGCCCTTCCAAAAATCGTGCAGAAAACGCGCTAAAATGCTGTCGCCCTAGCGTGAATGGGGACTAAGTAAGTGTTCTTTTCAGCGTATGCTTCATTCTTCTTCCTCCAGATATACTGCTGATCCATAGGGCTAAAAAGCTGTGCATGTGATGTAGCACTACACCTTGTTGGGGGTAGGTAGGTAGGTCTTAAGGGTGGATCTCTTTAAACATGTAAAGATTGCAAAGACTGGCAAACTTTGGGAGTGACCTAATGTCAAAATGCAACTTTAGCACATCATAGGACATCAGCACATCACAGCATTTACAACAGGGCTTTCCACCCGAGATCATTTCACTAAACTTGAAAAAAAGCCATAGGCAGCAGTTACATCATAGTACTTTAATACCAAACACTGTCATTTGTCATGACAGTTAAGGGGCAGATACATGGCAAGAGCTTTTTCCAGAGACAATGAGTTACCGTATTTAATTTGGGTATTTTTTTCCCCTGGGCAGACTGGCATTCAACAATATACCTGTCATAGATCTGCGCAATTCAAGCTAATGGATCAAATGGAATAAAAATGCATAAGCAGTGGTTACTTACATTAATGCACACTGTATGTGGATATTATCAGTAGATTAGACATGTATTTGGGGTCTATTCACAAAGCTGCCGAGGGCAGCCGAGTGAATGACCGATCAGGAGTGAAGTGAGCCGAACGCTGTTCGGCTATTCACTTCAGGCTGGTACGGCTGAATTTGTCTTTAGTAAGCTGAGAAATGTGCTCATGTGTGCTGTAGAATAAAACAACAATCACGTTTTTCTCCAAAATAATAACTAAGGGTAACCTTTAATGACTAACTTTAGTTAATATAACAGAATTTTCATAGCAAATGGCTTTGGGTGGTTCTTTTAGCTAGAATAAAGGTCTCTGTGCCTTGAGAGGTTGCTATAATTTCCTTTGCAGATACCCATTAAAGATATTGTATTTTTGGACAAAAAGTATGATTCTGGATTTACAAATCAATAGAGCATTTCTTGATCATTCTTCAGGGATTTCAGAATCAAGCAAACTTGATATTGCAGCTTTTACCCACGTGATGGCAGCACAGCTCCATGCCTATAAAGTAAGCATCAAACTTCAGCAGCCTTTCCCAACCTTTGGAACACAAAGGAACTCCTGAAATAACTTTTAGGTCACCGTCTCAGGGAACCCCTGAACCCCTGCCAATAACTATTATATCTACAGTTCATGTTGCATTAGCATGAACAGCAAGATGAGATAAAAAAGTTGATACAAAAAGAAATAAAAGAACAGGGAATATGGTGTACTTTGTGTATTTGACACCCAGGACTGCTCTATAATAGCAAATAATATTTGGTAATAATTAGGGATGAACCAATACTAGTATAAGTATCGGGGCAGATACAGGCATTTTTATAATTACTTGTACTCATGAAAATGCCCCATACATAGCGCCAATGCCGTCGCTTTCAATTTTTAAATAGGTTCGGGCCGCTCGTTTAGTGCTCGGTCCGTATCAATTGCACAGCAGCCAGCTCATCTATCCCCTCCCCCCCGCCCACACCTCCCCTCCAAGGTCCACCGCTCTCTTCCAAGGTCCGTCCCCCATGGTCAGCCCCCTCCCGGCTGTGGTTTTCGGGCTCCCCCCGCTCTTCTGGAGGACCCAGGACCATGGCAAATGCCTTCAGGATGGATATCACCAAATAAACAATCAGGGTCGGAAATATAAAAATGTATCTGGTCCATCGGGGGTATACAGGTATGAGAGCTGTAGTGGTTAAACTAGTTTGAACTAGCTGCTCACTGGAGGGGTCAGTATTTATAGCCTTCTATTGCAGGGACCGTTGTTTGGATTTTCTTCAGGAAGCAACATCATTGCATTGTTATCCCTACCACACTCATACCCACTATATGACCAAATGTGCAAGAAATCCCATCATTGTGGGATTGAAATCCAGGGCCCAAACCTATACGGCAATGGTAATTACTATTAGTTACCCGTAGTTAAGCTAGAGCCTCTAACAGGTGCTCCAGAAAGTAGCTAATGGTACAGGAGAAGTAAGAAACTTCTTCGATGTAGCTCCTAGAGGGGACCATTGTGACAAGATCTTTCAGTTTGCCTCAAGACAGGAAATAGATGAAATATATTGAATCATCTACATTCACATCTTAATTGCTGCTGTTCAGAAATATGTGAACTAAAAGTGCTGAGAGAAGATGATACTTAATAACATTTAGGAAAAAAAAAAAGTTAATAGCCATAAAATAGATGGATTTAATACAGTTTGACAGATTTCAAAAACCATGGACATTTCCATTGACAATTGTAAACAGCAGAACACCTGCAAAGAGCAGACAATAAAATGGCTATCGGTTATTCACTGAAGGGTGAAGAGTTTGGAGAAAGCAGGAGAAGTGAACAATCTAGGACAACATAGCTGATTTGGAAAAAATCTCCAATTCAGCTCACTTTTCAGTTCAGCTGTGTTGTCCTATATTGTCCACTTCTCCTGCCTTCTCCAAACTCTTTACACTGTAGTGAATAACCCTGTATATAACGGTACTGCCAAGAAAGTATTTGGGCTACTATCAAAACAAATACAATCTGTAAACTATTACAGCACCCTAGGATGCTTGACATGTCACACAAGGAAGATAATGCTTTGGTCTGCCCCCTCCCACACCTCAGTATTAGTCACTGAGACTGCCAATCAAATTAGAAAGACATGGGAGATGGCAAAGTGCCATCTTTTTTAGTTGTTATAATAGACTGGCCCAGTTTCAGAGTTCCTGGGATACTTTGGAGGAATTACAAAAGTTGTGAATAAGGCAATTCTGGACTTCTCACTTTGGGTTCAGTACAGATTCATTTCGGGCTCATTTACATGGGCATGCTTGTGCAAAGACCTGATCCCTGGAGGGACAGGTGCTGCGTGTAATTGCGTGCAGTAGCATGTTCCTCCAGATGGGAGGATGTGGCTGCATACAATCATGCTTTTGCCTTAGGAAGGGGTTCCTCTGTGACCCCGAAACGTTCATTGCTGTTTACTATGCTGCACATCAATAAATAGACGTTTGCTCATGAATTTGGAGTGCCGGTGTCTTTATCTTTACTTGTGATTATAACGGATGCCACCCGTTGACTACCGCAGCACCCGCTTTTCATTGGTGGTCAGGAGTGCGATGGGACCATGGACTTTCTGCATACAATTACACGCAGTTACGCACATATCCGAGCCTACACATCCCTGTGAGTCCGGGTGCCTGCACTTGGATCCAGACAGTGTGCGTCTAAGTGCGGGCACCCAGGCCTTGGTTCAGGTGTGCATGTAACCGCATGTAATTGCATGCAGCCACATCCTCCCATCATGAAGTTCATGCTGCTCCACACAATTAGATGCAGCACCTGTCCCTCCCAGGATCGGGTCTTTGCATGGGTGTGTACACCGTACGGATGTACACGCCCATGCGAATAAATTGTATGTCCATCCAAAACTTTTTTTTTATTTTGGGGGTAAGGATTTGAACCCATGTCATATTTTAGGTGGGGAAGGGGTTGTACCTATGCCATATTTTAACTACTATCTGGGGTTGCTTTAAAGCTATATTAAATTTACAAGGTTTTTAAACTATTTCAAATGCTGAATTCATCTTTTACAAAGAATGCTGCTCCTTGATATTTAAACGTTTTAGTTTTCCTGCAGAATCAGCTGGTCTCCTGAGCACTGGCCCTGATATCCTGTTTTAGGGGGGGCTCCTTTCCCTGGCAGCCACCCTTGTGTGTGCTAGGAAACTGTATCTAAGTCAGTGCAAATCCATTTCTTGATAGATATCACTCAAATATCAAGCGATTTCGGGGCCGTACAGGGTCCCCTTCATCAGGCTCAGAGTAGACATGTCAATAGTAGTCAAAGTAGTCAATGTCTACTCTGAGCCTGGTGAAGGGGACCCTGTGCGGCCCCGAAAGCGCTTGATATTTGAGTGAAATCTGTCAAGAAATGGATTTGCACTCACTTAGATTCTGTCGTGCTGATGACATCTCTCTTCAAAGTTGTACTGTGTGCAGCGCCATCCGCGGTCATTTCGAGCATCCATTAACACTTTAGGATTTCCGGTAAGGAGTGCTACAGGACTTATGGACACAGGAAGCTGTGTATGTCTCCACAAACACACAGGCACAGCAAGGCAAGACACTCCCCTCCTCCGTTCTTCAAGCTAGTAGATGGACAGCTGCTGAGGACTTCTCTGTCCCTTGTGATCTTGTACTGGACAGAAAGTTCAGGGAAGCTGAGCTGCGAGAGTTGAAGCCAGCTGTTCAGAAACATGATGGTTGTAAGTGCTTGGGCAAAAATGTAAATAAATTATTTGCTGGGCAATATATATATTTGTTTGATCTGGATTTATTGTTTAAAAAAAAGTTTGAGTTTATTATTACTTTAAGAGATTCCTTCTCACTTACTGTCACAGTGTCAATGTTTTTCCAGCAAGGAAATGAGGGACAATCTGCAACTGCAACACAAACAGTAATAAAAATGTTTTTAAGTAGGGCAATGTCAGCTTTTCATTGCTATCAGTGTCCCTGTTAGAGATTTCCTTTACTTCCTGTCTGGTCCTGTCCTTTAACATTATAAAACATTCCAAAACTTAAAAAAAAGGTTTTGGTTGGACATTTATTTTAAAGTATAAAAAAATGGAAAGGTCTCTGTCCTCCTGTAAGCAACCAGTCAGACACCAGCTGCCAATTCACTTCTACAAGTTAGAAAATAAAACATCTGACTGCCATAGGCAACATAAACACTTTGTTTTTAAGCTTTTTAATAAATATGCTCCACAGTATACTGCATTAGTAAAGACAGACCCGGAGAGCCTGAGCGGAGGGGCTACATGACTGGGGGGAGGAATAGTCCCGGGAGAAAGAGTTAAAAAATAAAATGAGAACTGTTGCTCTTACCTGATTGGACGTGGGAGTCAGGTGTCCGGGAGGAGCCGCATGGGAAGGATCTGCAAGGGCTGAGGGACGTCCTCTTTCAGGAAAGCAATGAACGAAGCAGGTTGTCCCACCCTCCCTCCCTGAATTTTGTAGTATGGGGGTTGTGGGGTTCTTTTGTCACGGCAGCTTGGCGGGTTAGGGGGTCTTTGGGGGGGCTACAAAAATCGGAGTGGGTTACAAAATTGGGGGCCATCAGCTGGTATGGGTGCTTCCCCCCTGTTGGTGTCCGGAATTGCAAGGGGCGGGGCCTGGCCCCTTAGGAACCTGGAAGTAGGAAGTGTCCTCGAGCTGGTTGTGGTGCGGCTGGGGACATGAATGGAGTCTTAGGACAGGCCTTTTTGGGCTGTTGGGCACCCAAAGACCCCTTCTCAGGTCAACAATTGTTTACAGTATTATTTGTGTATATTATTTGGTTTATTATTTTTGGTTATTGTTAAAGTTGTTTGGTTTAATAAAAGGGGCTGCTGTGGCCGTTAAAATCCATGTCGCGCAGTCCGAGTGTTTATTGGGGTTTTAACGGAGGGACGAAAATGGACGAATCCATCAGTCAAGTCTTTCCTAAGGCCCCTTTCACACTGACACCTGTCTACTTTCAACATCAGGTGATCCGTACATGCATCCCCCGCCGATCAGAGCAGTACAGAATGGATGTCACCAATGTGACATTAGTGTCCGTCCAGTTATGATGGAAGAAAATACTGAACTTACTGGACCCATGATAGCTCTACGAGGAGTCGGATGTAAACAGACATGTGTCCATTTATATCCAGTTACCCCCGATCCGTCACAATCACATGTGCCTAAACAGAACTCTGTTCCACTTTGGGGTCTATACACTAAGCTGCCGAGGGCAGCCGAGTGAACAACCGACCCCAAGTGAAGTGAGCCGAACACTGTTCGGCTATTCACTTCAGGCTGGTAATGCCATTGGCCGGCCGCCCAGGAGCCGTGTCAGAATAGAAAAAAACAAACAAAACTTTTGCCCATAGGAATGCATTGCTAGATTCCTATTGGCTATTTCAATTTGAATCGAAGCTACGCCCAGATCCTTCGGCAGCTTCGTGAATAGGCCCTTTTGTGTTCTGGACCTGGGCGGAGTCGGAGGTAATCAGATGTAAATGGACACACATCCATATAGATGTGGCTGCTCATAGACTAACATTGGGCTTCCAGTCAGACCAGCCTGAAAAACAGGACCTGATTGGACCTGATCAGACCAAATGTCTGAAAGGGGCTTTACGTGCATCTAAGTAAGGTCAACAGCATCAATTTAATATCTGTTTTGTTACAATGCTGTATAATTATTTATTAAAAATAAATCCTAAATTGAGAGAAATGTTCATACAGAATTAAATAACAAAATATACAATTCTAATAAATAATTTAAGAAAATATTGCAATGCTGGTTCACGCATTCTATGGAGTCCTGTCTCCTACATGATACTGAAGAATAAATGTCCAGATCTCTGGATTGTCTTTAGAACTGATAGAGACATACATGTATTTACAATCGGCTGTATTGCAGGTGCCTTCCCAGTAACCATCCTCGGTGAGGGTCAGAGGGAAGGAACTTTTCCCCTTTACACCTACTCCAGCTACGTCAGAAATCTTTAGCTTGAAGAAGACATCACTGTCTTTGGGTAGAACGCCCTCCAGAGGCTGGACAAGTTCGTAACTTTCAGACCAGCCTGTATACACCAATGGAAACACCGGCCATTTCACAGCAGTATTGGTACAAGTGATGAGATAGTTACACTGATGTTTGTACATGTTACTGTTCTTTGGCATAATGTTTACATGTAGGACATAAGTCCCTGACTGTGGAAGACGGACTTTGATTTGCACGCTGCCTTCTGTCTTCGTTTGAAAGACGTGCCTGTGCTCCATCTCTGGCATCATTTGTACATCATCGGAGTGTAGCGTGGGGAAAATGCTTAAATCATGCATTAATGTGAAACTGACAGTACAACATCCATCTTCAGTATGAATGGTAGGGTCTGGATGTGAAGGCTGAAAAAGCCCAGCCTTCTCTGTCTCTGGATTGGGGCCCACAGGGTTATGTAGACTAGAAGGGAAAGGAAGCCATTTTACCTTGGGATTCAAACATGTGGCTAAATAATTGCAGATATAGCCAGCAATTTCATCGAATATCCGAAAAACATAGGAACCTGCACGAGGAAGACGCACATTGAACTCTAGTTTCTGCTTCTGTATGGTCTGAAGAATATACATAACATTGGGTGCAATCTGTACATCATCGGATTTCAAGCTGGCTCTTAGCTTTAATACCCGGTCTGTGGTGAAGGTAATGGTAAAACATCCATCCTCAGTAGTGATGATTGGATCCAGATGTGAGGGCTGGTGCAGTCCAGCTGTTGCTATGTCTGGATTTGGACCTACTGGGTTGTGAAGCATGCTAGGAAATGGTGGCCATTTTACTTTTGGGTTAGAGCATCGTATTAGATAATTACAGATTAAGCCTTTATTTTCACCAAATATCTGGAAAACATAAGAACCATATTGTGGAAGACGGATGGTGAACTCAACTTTATCCTTCCCTGTTCTCTGTATAATCTGGTTCATGATGGGCTCCATTTTATCAGACTTCAAGCTGCCACTAAACTTTAGTTCCGTGTTGGTTTGGAAACTAATGGTGCAAAGTCCATCTTCTTGGTGAATGACTGGATCTAGATGTGAAGGGTGAAGAAGACCAGCTTTCTCTGTCTCTGGGTTTGGGCCAACAGGGTTACGAAGTATTTCAGGATAAGGTGGCCATTTCACTTTGGTGTTTTGACAAATTATTAGATAGTTGCAGAGATACCCTTTACTACTCTCAAATATTTGGAGAACATATGTGCCGGCCTGTGGAAGATAGACACTGAACTCCACCATCTTGTCCTGCACTCTTTGCATGATATGGTTCAGAATAGTTTTCACTTCATCAGTTCTGAGGTTGGCTGTGAGTTTCAGCTCCTTGCCCGAGGTAAAGCTTATAGTACAGAGTCCATCTTCTGTGTAAATAATGGGATCATTGTGTGATGGATGGAGGAGTCCTGACTCTTCTGAGAGCCAGCTTGGACCAGCAGGGTTATGGAGACACTTGGGAATCTTTATCTTGCTGTCTAAACTTTTGCAGTGTATTCTGTAGTCCACCACCAGCTGATAAGCTTCTACTAAATATAGTCTCTTGGCATAAATTTGTATAACCTGTTGCCCAGTCTTTAGAGGATAAACATAAACTCTGGCTTCATGCTCCATCAGCCTTAGCAGACCCATATCTTCTGTTTCATTTAAGCTGAAGATGTACTCCATTTTGTGCTGGCCTGCAATAGTAATGGTGGCTTTTCCTTTATCTAGATAGAGCAGACATAGAATATATTTACATTTGTTATCGTAGAAGTATATAGGCACCTGCATTTATGTAAAGTTGAACTCCATATAAAAAGATAAATACACAAATAAAATACATACATGGGAGCTGTTTTACCTGCCAAAGAATTTGTATTTTTGTGTCCATCCAGGTCTGAGATTTACACAGCCCACCACATAGCACAGTCTTGTCTGGCAGGGCAGATGACCTGAGGTCAGCTTTAAAGTGACTCATAGGAGAAGTGCTGCCATTACTGGTCTCCTTATAAAAAAGGTTGCTTGCCTGGCTGTGCCTGACTTAAGCAGCTTTAGTCAGATTAGGAAAAAGCATGCTGTAAATCAATGTCAAGTGTTGCAATTCCTTATCTTTACACTCAGGCTCAGCGACTCAGACAGCTGTCCCTCTAGTTCCCAGTTTGAGTGCTGGTATACTGGAAATTATAAGAGGGTAACTATAAGTAAAAGTCTGTTACCTAACCTCACACTTGCCTACCAAGGTACATTTTGGAATGGCCAAACAATCAGACAATCAGGCAGCCAGTGCACCTGTTAATGCCAGTGAACTGAGCCATCCTTGGTCAGCTTGGTTCATAGACACTATGTACAGAGCTGTGATTGACCATTGAGAAACCAATCAAAGTGATCACAGATAGAGAAAGGGGAGAAGAAGGAACTAATGAATGAATGTGTAATTAATTAGTTCCCCCAACACAGTAGAGATCAGCGGCAGCATACTTAAATAAAGTTTAACCCATTCACCTCCCCACCTATGATCTCTATACTGTCTTTTCAGTGACCCGTATATTAACCCTTCACCTCCTTATCCTGCACATCTGCACATTAACCCCCTCATCTCCATTCTCACACTGTATGTGACCTGCACATTAACTCCTTCACTAACTTCTGATCTAGTGCACAATTACTAAGCTCCATTTTTAACCCTGTAATTCCAGCATGTTTCTTCATTTCCAAAAAATTGTGTAAAAAAAAAAGGAGATCACCTTGGGTGTATACTGTCTGAAAAGGGGTCATTTTGGGGTTGTTTGCACTATGGCTTTTTTATTTTAAGAGGAAGTAAGAGAAACAGTTAGGTATTTTTACCTTTACATAGTAAAACATAAAAAAAACAGTGGTTATTAAACCTATCTATCTGTTGAGGGTATATGGAATTCATTTGCATACAGTGTCGTATGACCGAGAAATTGTGAATCAAACTATCACAGCACTGAAAACTAAAAAATGGTCTGGAAATGATGGGCTGTATACAAGCTGGTATTCAAGTGGTTAATACACCTATTTTCTGTAAATTAATACATGATTCCATTATTGATATTCTAATATTTGCTACTTTGGTATTAAAGTAAACCTGCAACAAACTCAGACAATTCAAACTAAGCATATGATAAAAAAGGCATACACAAACCTCTACTGATCATGTAAATGTTGTGCTTCGCTCCACCTTTCTCACCTCTCAAGCTTGTTGGTTAGGGATACCCATCACATTAGAGGACCAATTGTGGGATTTTGAAAGCAGGAAGCAGGTTGCGGCAAACTTGACCCTTGCTGGAAATGTTGTGATTTACATGTAGTTCAACTACCCATATCTGTGGATCTACTTGTTATTTTGAGATGTGGTTTTGCCTTAGGCATTTGGATCTTTTCAGCATACAGTATGCTCCCCTTTAATTGCATATGTTTGCTGTAGGGCTTATTCTGAAGTGAACCAGTTAGCCATTTTTACAACATGCTGTCTAAGAGCAGACACTCCCATATTTTTTCCCCTCTAAAACTAGTTTTACTTTCTTAATGGGGCCCTGACTGGTATTACATAGTTACATAGTAACATAGTATTTGAGGTTGAATAAAGACATAAGTCCATTAAGTCAAACCTATTGTGTGTGTGTGTATGTATAGATCCCTGTGTCATCTCATTCTTAAGAGTACCTGTACCCCTGTACATTACGGTCACTCAGGAAATCGTCCAAAAGCTTCTTGAATGATTCCACACTATTTGCTGAAATCACTGCCTGTGGCACAGAGTTCCAAACCCTAACCGCTCTAACTGAGAAGAACCCCTTTCGCCCCTTCTGTTGGAATTTTTTTCCCACCAATTTTAGGTGGTGGTCTCTAGTCTTTGTTATGGAGTTAAGCGTAAAGAGTTTGTTGGTAATGTTGCTTTGACTGTTGAACATCTTGTACATGAAAATCATATCCCCCCCCTTAATCTCCTTACTTCAAGTGTGAACATATTTAAATTTAGCAGCCGTGTCTCATAGTTCTGGTCCTCCATTCCCTTAATGAGTATGGTTCCCCCCTGCAGGACTCTTTCCAGTTCCAGGACATCCTTTCTGTGTACTGGTGCCCAAAACTGGACCGCATATATATATATATTGGAACTACCGTAGCCCTCTGCCAGTCACTTGGAACTCTACCAGTCAATAAAGAGTCCTTAAAAATGAGCAATAATGGTCTTGTTATAACCTCGCTTAGTTCCTTAAGTATCTTGGGGGTGTAGATTATCTGGTCCCAATGCTTTATTTGCATTAAGTAGCTTAAGTCTTTGTAGCTTAAGTCTTTGTTGTATCCCGGTTTCCGTCAACCACTGCGGTATATTTTTTGTTGAACTATGTGTTTTATCATGTACATTAAACCTGTCTTTTTCCTTGTAGTCAACAGGACCTACCCCTGATGGTCAGTGTCTTCTCCTTGAGCCCACTGCTTTGAAAGCAGAGATTCACAATACACTAACCTCTGATAGGTTTCACATGTAGTAAGCTCAAATAAACCCAAAAAGTTACCTGTTTCTATAACAGCTGCTTCAGGCTGAGAGGAAATCAGGCCTAGGTTATAAAAATGACTTCTGTGGTGCACAAACTGTTCAAACTCTTTGCTGGTCACTTTTGGGTCCAGCAGTTGATAATCTGCTTGTTCTGGATAATGTTCTCCAATGAAGAGAGCCGGATGGGTCAAGAAATAAAACTCATTGTACCTTGATGAAGGCAACAGAGAAGAGTGACATAAGTGATAATATATTACTAACTAACTAAAATCAGTCTATCAGTACAGATGTTGTTGCAGTATCAGAAGATTTGATTTATTACCGTCACAGCAGAATTCGTTTATGGGTCTAATTTTCAACTCTCATATTATGTTTTCTTACATAGAGATCCTTACACCTCATTTACACTTGCAAATAGGACTATATGTGAATTGTGGCAGCAAAAATACACACATTGTTGCTGTCTGAATTCGAATATAGCCCCAATCACAAGTAGTAATGGAGCATTATTCCGGTGTGTTAGCTTTGTGCATTATGGGTCAGGTTAAACATTTTAGCAGCTACAATGCATATGACATGTATACTTGTTGGATATAAACATTTCTATATCTTTTTTATTCATATTTACACAAAAACGGATGCTAAATAAACTACAATTGTACTGCTAAGGAATTAATTGGTTATTTTTCAACACATTATGCTTTTAGCTATTATTAGAATTATTATTTATTTTATAAAGGGTCATTTTTGAGGGTCATCCGAAACACAAAAGGGCTGATTTATAAATCTTCTACCCAGCAAATGCTGTCCACACAATAATTCCTATGCTCCTTGGCTCCATCTAGTGCTGGTATTTCCATGCGAATGGCATTAATCTAGCTATATGCTGGTTTGAAGATTAAAAGGTTATTAAACTAGCAAGCAGTAGATTTAGCATCGTGCACCCGCACAGACTCAGTGGGACATGAACAAAGAGGGGGACAGAGGAGTCAGCGCTGGATCGGAGACCCGCACCAGCGCTGGGGGGAAATCTAAAAACTCCTTGACAGAAGAAGATGATAGGATTAAGCA